CATATTAAACGCAGACTACTTTAGGCCCGGAAGTAGGATTCGTCACGTCATCACTTAACAACCGGATAGAACCTTCGGCCACAATTCAACCCGGCCTGCGACATCATAAAAAGTAAAAGTAGTGGGTCTGCACAATAAAGGTATAAAAGTTTGAGGTTGGAGACATAATACATAATACATATTAAGATTCTAATGATTGTAAAGTCTAGAGTCTCTATTTAAAAGATAATTCAACATCTTTCATGAGAGCAGTCGGGCATATGAGGAAGATGTAAGCTAGTTTTTTATTGTAACCTCAGAGGAAACCAAAGTAAAATATGAGAAAAACAAATGCTAACGGCTGCTTATAGAGTTTACCAGAATTCAGCAATGTGTGCATCTGATTTCACAGTTATTCATCATGTGGTCCTACACTTGTTTTATTGATTATTTATCATTTTTATTGTGGCCCCGTGAAAAAAACAAAAGAACCACATACACGTATATAAACTCGGCTTGTGTGCTGGCTGTATGTTTGCAGAGTTGTGTTAATCCTGGTGAGATGCTGGAATAAATAAAACTATGCTGATTTAATATGAGTCGCACTTTTAGGTGTGGCGGTAAGGGATTTTTGTTAAGTGAGAATGATGAATTGCATCTCCTGCTCTCAGCGGAACAAGTAAGGACATGTACAAAAACACTCCCAGAGGAGTTCAGCAGATGTGTAGCCTTTACATCTGGAGTCTAAAGACTGACCACTCACTTCTTCCTGCTGGCAGTGGTTGCAAAACAAAATGACAAAGAGCCCCTTTAAATGAGTGCAAAAACAAAGTCCACACCTGCAAAAGCGCTATCGCTACAATGTTCATGCTGAGCTGGCATATAAACCCTGGGGAAGCAGAGTGCTTCCTGTAAACTGAACTGTGGTGGTTAATAAGGACAGAAAAAGGCCAAGAAAGCAGCAAGCGGCACTTCTGCAAACACTGTGCCCCTTCTCAATTTGCAGGCTTGGCTAATAAGGGAGCAGCGTGCATGCTAATCAATCCACACTCACACCAAAGGAAAATAAGCGCTGAATTTTATAATGCAGCATACATTTTTCCACTGAGGTGTAAGTGTGTGCAAGTTCACTCTGAATAAAAGGTACTGGCATTCTGATTAAGCCACAAACACACAGGTTCATTCAAAGAGAGCTGCTTTTGCTTTAGGCCTGTCACACACAAAAGTGCTGATGGATGACAAGGTAGTGAGACGTGTCCTTGTCAGAGGTATTGTCCCATTATATTGTCCTCTATGGTTTTTTGGGGTCCTCAAAAAGCCGCATTAAACAGAAAAGCAGAGGAATGCAACTTACAGGACAATAGGTGTGATGGTGAGGAACTTCCGTGAAGCCGTAAACTGCACACCGTAGTCCATCTGCTCCCAGTGTGTAAGGAGGCGAGCTTTGCCTTGATCAGGGGTCTCGAAAGGTGTCCCTTTGACTGTATGAAGAAGCAGGTACATGCACTACAGAGAAGGGGAAAAACAGAACACTGTTGCCACATGATTGCCACACTAGTGGATTATTGATATGTGAATACAAGAGTAAACTTCGTTCAGTACAAAATCTTCCAGGAAGTTAACTTACTAAGTTAAGGTCTTCCTCTTCTTCTTCTTTTAAAATAAATCTAAATCTACTGTAAAGCTCGTAAGTAAAAGTCGGATGTGTTCTCAATATTAGGAACACTTTTAAGCTGCATGATGAAACAGCCCATGCCTCAACTAGCAAATTCACTTGTGTAACAGGATCACGGTGTGGTTAATACTGCACTCTTCTCAAGAAATGTGGGCCTGTCCGAGTTGAAAAGAAAAAAAAGGAACTATGAATAAACAACAACAATAAAAAACAAGAAGCTTGTTAAAGAATCACCTCATTAACCAAAGGCATGTCTAAGAGCAGTGAAGCAGCAAGCAGCTGTGTCTCTGACTCAGCTCTCAACTTACTCCCATTCACCACATCCTAAACCTCTTCACTGTGCTGCACGTGCCCTCGACTCGATTTGACCTCACTTGACCTAGTCAATAAAGGTTAAGGCAAACTGTGGCAGTGCTGGTCCTTTGAGGGACACCACTACACCACTAACCAGATTATGGATGAGGTTGGTGAGGGTCCAGACCACGGGCACACTGGCAAAGGGGATGCTCAGCAGGATGATGTGAAGGAGGCCGATGCCCAGGATGTAAGACAGCCACATACCCCGGCTGTTCATCACTCGGGTGTTGGGGTTAACCTCGCTGTGTGCTGTTCCCACGTTCATGATGGCGGCGGTAAGACTGTGTAACTGTCTCCTGAAACAAAAACCAAAGATGTTACCTTCTGACCATCTACAACCTCTAATGGTAAGCAGTCATATTTAAAGGGTTATACAGACACCTGTAGTGAACTCAACTAAAGGAAAATGAATCATGTAGCTTGGTTGCCCTTAAATGAAGCTGCATAAAGGAAAATAATTACTTTATGTATTATGTATTGCAATAAAGCAACAGTAGGTTATATGATGGCTTTAACCTGACATCTGCAAGCCAATCAGATGCCTTTGCCGTGGTATAAATGGAGAAAACATTAAAATATGATCAAATGAGATTTTAAGAAGTAGCCTTGTGCGTGAATAAAGCTGGTGTCTGCTGGTTCAGTAGCAACTGATTGACTAGAGTAAACAATGTCGCAAGCGCTGATCATTCCAGCATGCTCTTTTGCAAGTTGTCTGGAAACATCACTGGAGACAATTGATCCTTAAAAAGATCTTGAAGTGAAGCATGGAAGCAAACACAGCAAAAAACAAGAAAAGTTCAAATGCGTTGGGTTAATTAATGAAATCATTGTGCTTACTGCAGAGAAAAATGGCTTCAACTCCGACCTTTACGGGCACTACTCCGTTATCACAGTTTTTCCGTTATCGATGGCTTCAGTTATGTAACTAATACTATCCCTGCGCGGCTGATGAGTCTGCGGGGCTTCCATTAGTCGCCCGGTTCCCCTCCTTCAGTTCCGAACGCGGCTCTGAGCCCTACGGTCCACTCGTGAACACGCAATCCATCGAGACGCGTCCACTTTTCTTTCGTCTTCTTTTAGCCAACAGCTGGTGACAACACAGCACGGTCCACGGTGTTACGTCATCGTCGCTCTCTCTCGGCACACGTTTCGGCGGAGTTTTTTTGCTCCTCGCAATTTTCTGTGATACGTCATGTTCGAGTCACGTGACCTAATCTGGCCAATCACAGCGGAGTGCGCTGAAAACACGTAGCTACGTCTCCCTGACGTCAGGGCAGAGGAGGAGCTCAGGGAAAAGTGATTGACACTTATAAGCTACGTTTAATAATAAGAATCCTGATTTTTAAAACGAGGAGATATAGTTTATACAATTAAATTGCTTCTATTTTTATTTTTAAACAAACAAAAATAACTATCTAAATAAATAAATAAAAACGTTGTGGTTCTGATCACAAAAAACTAAAAAATATATGTAAAATAATTTTATTATTGTATTATTAATAAAATAATTGCCTTACAGTTAAGTATATAATACTAAATCCATTTATAGCAGCACCTTTAAGGTGCCCAGATATTGACATTCGTGCTGAATTGACCTAGAATTTAGCACATTAGGGACAAATAATATGGCATTTTAGTCAAATGCTATTTTCCCAGTTCCCTGAGTAAATTTAGGCAAATTCAATAAACATAAAATGTTTGTTTCATCATCTTCTAACACACCTTCTATCAATAAATGTAAAAAGTTAATGTTCTGTCTGGTAATAATCACTGGCTTTCAGTTGCAACACAACCTTAGATTGGCCATTGGCTCCATAATTTAGTTGTTTCCACATTCCCCTAACAAGGAAGTATGCCTAGTTTGAGCCAGTGACAAGATAAAAATCCCCTAGGGGTTAAGGCGGAAGGTCATCTGCAGTAAAAATCTGTCAATCTGGCACCATATTTGATGTGTCGTGCAGTGGCATCCCCTTGTGAATAAGCTGAAAGGAGCCAGCTAGCTACTGAGATTTGCATTTCACTTCTTGTTTTTAGCCCCAGGAGCTTTGCGAGACTGACATGCACTGTTTCACTTCATGTCGCTATTCACCACCATGTGAAATATCAAAATTACAATAACAAAGGCAAAAAAATTCCACCAGTGTCATCCTGTTATAAGTAGCTTCATAGTCTTTATTGTTGCTGCATTTGCTTGTCTTTAAGGTATTTTCCATCAAATTCCACTGAAATCTGCAAAGCTTTAGACTTGGTGACTTCCCCTGTTTGTTTTCCCCTGTTTGGCATACTGTAACCAAGACAGCAAGAGAGTGTGACAATAACATGCACATGATTCATGATGATGGTCTTTGTTCATAACCACTGGATAGCAGTGCCTTTGAAAACTAGACTAAATCAAATTGTTACACACTGTCACAGTTACAGGATGTTGTGACAAAGGACAAAAAATATTGCAGGGACACCTGGTCACCATACGTTCCCCCCATGTCAGCAGAGTAAGGCTCTAGCCGCCCACAGCCCTAAGTTGGAGAAGCTGTTGAAGGGCTGTTTTTGTTTTTGTTTTTTAGAAAAACAAACATTTTATAAATATATGATGGAACAGAGAGATTAAAACACAAAATTATCTAGAGATCATCCTGCAATGGACTCCAGTTGCTACAGAAATTGGTCTTGGTACATCACAAGTTACCAATGAATCCATACATTCATCCTCTGCTGCTTATTAGTTACATTTCATCTCTGGCTCTCTTCCACAGTGTTTCTTTGTCCTGTCTTCCTCCCCTCACCCCCAGCTGGTCACAATAAATGGCTGCTCCTCCCTGAGCCTGGTTCTGCTGGAGTTTCCTTCCTGTTAAAAGGGAGTTTTTCCTTTCCCCTGTCGCCAAAGCATTTCCCCAAAGCAGGTCATCTTAATATTGGGGTTTTCGCTGTTTTTTCTGTATTATTGTAGGGTCTTTACCTTACAATATAAAGAATCTTGAGGTAAATGTTGGTATGATTTGGTGCGAGATAAATAAAACTGAATTAAAGTGAATATTCTGATAAAATCCCAATGACAGTGAGTCTCCACAGACACTACATTAGGTTTCAACAGGCTAGCATTTTGCCACAGTAACACACAAAGAGTCAAAAACAGTCTCAGCCACGCTCTCACAGCTGGTATAAATTCCAAAACGGTGGGCAGCAAAATCTTTATACACACACATAAAAGAAAGCTCTCGATTCTTCATGTAGCCAAGATGAGAGGAGACCTTGCTAGAGGCAACAGTAAATGTCTAACGTGGATCATACTGTGGTTTCAAAATCAAAAGATCAACAGTGTCATGTTCTAGATCCTAAGATAAACCCATATACTAACTTTGGCCCACAGTAGCCTGAAGCCAAGGGCGTCATCAGTCCTCTGCTTGCATGAAATGTTATGTGACACCTACTGTATCTAAGGGTACCCCTGTGATGAGCGGCATCAAACGGGTTTAGCCATCTGACAGTGGACTGTCTCGTGTGCTCATAGCCTTGGGAGTTATAGTTGTGTCAGATATGTAAACCTAGAGCTCTGCTCAAATGAGAACTATGGATGTCAGTGCTGTGAGATCATCTCTGGCAATGGAACAATGACCAAGTACATGACACTGATAAAATACTAAAGGAGGAGGGAGATAATGAAAGTACTCATGTGGGCACGTATGACACCAAGAGATGAGTATTTCAGTGATTTCACCATGAGTGTGCAAATGATGGTGTGGGTAAACCTAAATAACAAAATATAATTAAGAAAAATGGGTTTTGTTCTATGTTAAAATGCCATTTTAAATCATTAGCTTTTGGTTTAGTCCAGAGCACCATTTAATAGTTGTCTTACAACTTTGGTTACCACTGATGATGATAGATCAAAGCTTCGGTGTCGTGCGGTTGCATTCATTTCTCCACAGCTATAAATCTAACAGATGTTTAGACATATTCCTCTGTAAACTCCACTTCTCTACTCTTAGGGTTTTGCCTACGGCTCATTTAGCTAAGTCTTTCAGATGTAATGCGATTCCATTAATAGGATGCATGCCAGTAACAAGAGCTTTTAATGATGAGATGTATTTCATATTTCCATGTCTCCCTTAAGATGCGGGTCAAGTGTAAATTCTTTGCATGGTTTTAGCCAGGAATTGTTTTTTTTCGAGGCATAAATCTGTATCCAATTATCATCCATAGTTTTACAGACATTACTGTAGCTCCATGCATGTATTCTGGGAAGAACATTCCCAAAAAAAATGGGACAGGGAAAAAAAATGTGTACCCAGGAACTTCACCATATATATTTGTTGCTGTCTGCCTTAAAAAAAATCTGTTACAATGTAGGAAAATCTTCTTTGTTTTTCCTACATTGTTTCAAGTCCAAATATTGCTGTGTAATTTGAAAAAAATCATAACCTTTTCAAATTAAACTAGTGTAGCTTCCATTAGTCATAAAATCAGGAATGAAAAATTGTAAGCAGTTATATATTCTGTGATGTGGCAAAAAAATCAAACTCAAAGCATTCTTTAGTATATTGCACCAGATAATGTTATAATATCACAGTTTTAGCTAAATGAGTCAAAGAATACACAGTCAGTTTGGGCCGTTTAAAAAAAAGACTCTCAAGTTTAACTTTCACAGTTTGAATTCTGCTTCTACAACGTTTGAAAAAGTCATTTTTTTGCACCTGTATATTTCACTCATCAGACTGCAATATGCAGATAAACAGCAACGTCTGATTGTAGAAGACCAGCAGATGTCACCATCAACACACTTTGAACTGGTTGCTGCCATCCTGGAGTCTGGAGTGTGATGCTTCTACTCTTAATGACACAACTGTGGAGGCGTAGTGATATAATATGAGGTATAATTATTAATTATCATAATTAAGTCCTGCTTTTTTCTGTCATTCTAAGCAGCAAAGAAACTTAGGAGGTAATGAGCCTTTTCTTAGGTGTTTAAAATGAAGTTGTTATATATATATCAGTGCCTGTCTAAATGCACTCATGTCATAGGACCAAGTTTCCACTTTAGTAAATTAAGTTAACAAGACTATAAGGCTAGGCAATGCACGTATGAGCTTTACACAACATATAAAGTATAATCTGTACTCATCACTTCTTCGAGAAAATTTGTGGGTTTACATTTTAGTTCATCCAGTATCTTGTATTTCCAGCACTTTCTAGACATCTACCAACTCGTGAGTTCAGAATCTCAATGAATTGCAGCCACAATAAATAAAAGAATTATAAAAATCTGGAAGTACTGCAGAGAAAGGATTTTGGCAAATCAGTGTCGCACCTTTAATTAGCGCATCGGAGCAATGCTTTAGCGACGTTACCTGAAAATACAGAAATATCTACCCACAAACACGGATATGTTCTTAAGGTCAGTGGCGTTCGGGTTTTATGGCCTGCGGATGGGCTGCTTGTGACAGGAATGACACTGCCGGGGTAATTTTCTCCAGTAGGAGGGGTGGACTTGTGACCCAGGCAGGCTTGGATGATAGCCTCGCTGGAAAAGGCTGACGCAGGGAGTCCATTATTGCCCCTGGAGGAAGCGGAGGATTAGAACACCAAAGAATTTCAATAAAAGAAGTGTCTGTTTGGGGGTCGGGGAGAGGCAGAAGGATGGTGAAGGTGGTAGGGTGCTGGGGGGGGGGAGTTCCCCTCATTGTCCCAGCAGTGATTGAGAGCAAGAGGAGGGGAGTGGGACAGCATTGTGTTTGCAGCTTCTCTGAAGAAGGTGGTTATTAGGGGGGATGGCTAAAGAGGGGTGAGGGATGGGGAGGCTGTTGACTCTTCATCTTGTGTGAACAAAGTCTCTGGCACATAGCCCTCTTCTGTCCCTCTGTCCTGGACACCCTTGTCTACGAGTGCCATGAATTCTGTCCCTCTCGCCGGGGACCCCCACCAACTCCAACCTGCACCGCCACACATTGTGGGGCTTAAGTGCCCTTTAATTAGGCCGCCTCAGTGTCCGGCTGAAGACCGCTGAGGGTTTAGGCTCTTCCCTGTGGGACCTTGCTGAGCAGCTCAAACACACCAATAGTGCCCTTCACACAGCCAAGGGATAAGTGTTTGCTGCTCTAATGAAAAAGATTTATTTAAGAGTATGGTTCTCATTGCCCCCGACTTAAAAAGTCCTCACAATGGCCCCGATATTATCTTTAA